CTGTAGCCATTGAATTAACAGTAAAGTGGTGGGTCTTAGTCATCTTTATTAGCTAAAAACTCCACAAACTTGAGCAGCTGATCCTGTAGACATGAATACCAAGCTGAGCTCCCAAGGAAAGTCTCATTTGAAACCTTTATAAATTAGCCAACTTTAAAGTTGCTTTCAAAAGGGATGGTCCTTCTTCCCAAAGGAATATATGGCTTTTGGTTATTAGAAACAGAGGAATTCTTAACTTTTTTGGCTTTCTTTGTGGGACAACTTCATTAGTAGCTTGAGGAGGAAGACAGTATTTCTTAAACATTTATGCTGACTACTGAGTTTCGGTTTTTTGTTTTGTTTCTAGGGAAATGAATCGTCGTAAGCACAGCAAGCCGGGATCTGTGCCATTTGTGCCAGAGAGGAAGAAGCATATTGTGGCAGTAGTGAAATAATTGTTTTCAAATGTACAAAAAGCCACAATGAATGAAAAATGTCACTATTAAAAGAATACACTGTAGAAAATTTGATGGACTTTGGTAAGACAGCATGTGGTTTCAGAAACATGACTTTTCTTCCAAGTTTGTTCATCCCCTGACTTCTGTTTTGAGTAGCTATGAGAATTTCCCCTGTAATCTTTTATTGCAATTTGTTGATGTTACTGGCTGAACACTGGATATTGCAGCGGTGTTTGACCCTTTTGATACAAGCAGATAACTTGGTGGAGAATATCTGCAATTCCAGTTCTATTCCTTGGTACTGTTACTACAGAAAGACAAAACAGATTAATACTTGTCAAAGCAAAAAAACCTGCTTCATACAGAGTTACAAAAATTATTGTCCTTATGCTGTCCTTTTTAAAAATTTTTATTTGAACAAATTTAATAAAGTGAGCTTAAGCAATGGACTAGATTTTGATTATTTCAACTGATTATTCAAAATGTCTACATTATGCTTATTACAGTCCGGCGTGTTATTTTTCTTTTATCCAGAAAGAAATTCAACAGGATTTTCAGACATCTGTAAACATTAATAATTTTGCTCAGTTTTTTTAACTGTTTTTATGCAACTTTACCAAACCTCAGACCGTTAAGTTGCTAATACTGCTAATTACTTAGTTGAATATTTTTTTCTCTTTAAGACTTGGAAAATCTGGATGAAAAATCACATAAATTTTATAAACCACAGAAATCCCTTTGGATGAGTTTTATTATAAGCTTTCTATTTTACATTTATAGAAGAAAAATGGAAGTTTCATACTTTACAAGGTATCTGTAGCCCAAAGTTCCTTTACAGTTTGCCTGGGAAACACCCTATTTCTCTTTCAGTGCAACAAACAGCCTTTTACTGAAGTTACCAAGGTGATGAGAAAACTGTACTGTAATTAAACTAGGCTGTCTAGACTAAGGAGAGATATGAGATATGTAATAACTGTAATGTTGCTTAACATAATTTGTACAAAAAGTTCTTTTTAAGTCTTAACACTACAGTGTGTAATGACACTCCCATTGCCCTGAGCTTATGCGTTAAAAAAAAAAAAAAATGTACTCAATTAGAGTAAACGTAATACTTTTTTTTTTTTTAAATCTGGAAATTGAGTGCTTGCCTTCATACAGTATCCTGCTTAATATATCTGCTGACACTAATCCCTCTGCATTTCTGGTTCTTACTCTTTAACTTGTCTCTTGCAGTACTGTTTGGGCAAGATTCCTGAATCATCATGGCAAAATTATGACTCTTTGGTGATAAGAGTCTATAATGTATCTTTGACTCTCTGGATCACTTACCTTTATGGCATGATGCAGGAAGAGAAGCAGATCTGAAGAGCTATAAGTAGGATGATGAGAAGAAGTGGAACAGATCAGGAAATAGGCTGATGCTGGCTGTGTGCCTGTTGTACAAATACGGTGCACTCTGTGCCAAATACAGTTTATTTTCTTCCTGAAATACTGAAAAAAATTGAGCAAGAATATGCAGTCCAAAATGTGGCTTGTGACACAGCTGTAGTCAAGTCTTGCACGATTTGCAAAACCAGACTAATCTCCTGAAATGTGATTAAAAATTTTCAGCCTTGTCAGTTTTGCAAGAGTTGAAGCTGTTGATTATTGATTTGTTGAGTCATGGTAACCTCTGGTGTGAACAAGTCCTGCTGCTTGGAATTTATTAGCTTTGGTACAGATCTCTGAATGTAAAGAGAGCTTTCAGTTGTGAAGTTGCTTAGGTTGTGGTGTGGTATTGGTGTGGAGCAATGGGTGTGAGCCATGTCCAAAGGATTTCCTCGTGTTCTAACACCTTTATAAACTGTTGTTTTCGGAGAGAATCCAAGTGGTGCAGCTCAAAAGGATCAGGGCTGGCTAAAAATTGCTAGAAATATTGTAACTATGCTGGAAAAAGGCATTTTAATGTTAGGAGGGTACTCAGAGGCTGTGCATTTGGTTATGAATTCCTTTTCCAAAATCTTTAGGTATAGTTGTACACAGAGATTCATCTTGGCATCAAGTGGGGCACCCTCTTAGCATTCCAGGAAAAAGTCTGTTTTCAAAAGTCAAGTCTTGCTGTGACTTCTAGAAACATGCAAGGTGTAAAATCATTGTAGCTCTGAACTGGGGCTTTCTACTTGGGAAAAAAAAAAATCAGACATTTGGAATTTTGCAGGTAGTGGCTGCAATCTGTCAATTCACAGGATTTGTACATTGTTGGGCTAGCTGCTGTTGATTTATCCCTTTTGGAAACCCTTACAGTTTGTCTCTGATGCTTTTTGTGGTCATCCACCTGAAGTACATAATGCCACAGCACTCAAAAACATTTATTTAAATGTAGTAGTTGCCGGGTGGTAGCTGTGCTTGCAAGAAGTACTCATGTAAGTCTGTTACAGGCCATTGCTGAAATGGTTTAGAAATTAAAATAAAGGAGTTGGAGCCATCAGCTCCATCAAATAAAAATCAGTTTTTATTTGGCAGGGTTTTTTATTATTTTTTTCCCCTCAGTGATTTGAGATGTGTAATCGGACCTCATCTTAATTACCTTAATGGAGTTACCTAGATTTATCAAAATGATTATATGTAAAATGACTGTGCATATCTGCATGTGTGTGTACCCGAGTGTATGCAGAATAAAATCCTTAGTACCACACAACATACTGAAAATTTAAGGAAACTGGTAATGTTTCCCTTCAAAATTTTGGTGTTGTTGATTAAAGAAAAAAAGGAAGGTGACAGATTGTTTTCTAAACCAAGACATTACCTACAGACCTGCTGATTAAAAAAACCCAAAAAACCAAAATTCTGTATATGTTCTTTCTTTGGGAAAAATTACTTAAGGAGTGGTTTGAAAGAAAAATAATTTCTTTATTATCATAAATACTTAGAACAGTATTCATAGCCTTGGTGAATTTAGCTGTTTCATGATAGAGCAGCTGTGGAGCCATCTATGTTTTATTTCTATTTCATCATAGCCAGACTACGTAAAGAAACTGGTATTTGAATAAAGTAATTTCTTTTACTCTCCATATGTTACAGATACCTGAAACAAACTAAATGGCCACTCAGGTATGTGGAAATATATAAACCTTCTGGACCAACTGAAAATTTCAACAGGAGGGTTCTTTGCCGGTGTCTGTGTGACCCTTCTTCACTTTGCTCATGTTAGCAAAATGCCATGGCTTTTGGGATGAGGGCTTTTTTTAATTTCCCCACCCAAGTCGAAGGACCCCAGGCTGTTGTGATTCCTGTATCATCAAGCTTATAACAATAGAAAACAACACCTGTGTGCAAACCTACACACAGTACAGACAATAAACACTGCCAGCCACAACTCCCAGGGGCAGAGTGCAGTGCCTGTATTGGCACCTGTGCAAACAGCGACTGTGCTGGGTGTTGCTGCTCCACCCTTCTCCAGCTGGCCAGGCTGAGCCTCACCTCTGGGTGTGCACACAGCTGCAGTGGGGCTCTGGCAGCTGCTCTGGGAGGCACTCCAGGCAGTGACTGACATGTTTACCCTTTGCAGACCTCTGGACCTTCAAGTGCCTCGGCCATGTGGTCCTGCTCCAGTGGATCATACTCCTGTTCTCCTGCTTGTGGGCTAGTCTCACTTGAGGTTTGCTAGCCTTGACAGTTACATGCACACAAGACTAGTTAGAGATAGGGTGCAATAATAATACAGGATGGACTGCAGCAGTGCACTGTAATTGGTAAGCTGTCTACATGGGACTGGTCCCATTTATCCTCTTTGTCCTTGATTTTCCTATGCCTCTTTCTCTCCAGTCTACTTTAGTCACTCCCTTTACACGCTTTTTGTGGTTACTTTAAACATCCCAGAGGGAAGTTTGGCACACTGCTGCAATCCACTAAAAAAATAATCCTTTAATAAATTTTACACACTCTCTAAATTCTGATTTCTCTGAAGTCTTATAACCTTTAGGTAATCCATCGGTTTGCAGAGTTATCCAGGGAGTTTCCTACACTTGTTTAGTGAATTTTGCACTAAGAGCAGTCCTCTGTGCCATTCTTCTTCCATATTATTTGGATTGGTGAGTCTGTGCACTTGGTGTTTGCTAATTGTTCTGAACCTTGCTGTGGCTTTGTGTTTAATTGGTAACCTTTAGTTGGGTAACATGCTGTGTTATGGAAGTATCTCTGCAGTACTTTCTCAGCAACTTGACCACGAATGTGGTGGAGGCAATAGATTTCATCTTGCTTAACCTTAGATGTCCACAGTGCAGGCCCAGTGAACAGCTTTGCATACCTGATCTGTACTTGGTGGAGGTATATACTTATTTCAGGACAAGTTTATCCCATGTTTCAGACATTTATATTTTAGTTAAAACTTTATACTTAACATTACGATGTGAAATATGACTAGTTAACTTAGGAGTATCTGTCTAGGTTTGTACAGAATTGCATACAGAAGCAATTTGATTTAAGATGAACAAAACCAGTGACAAGTGAACACCTTGTGCCCCTTCTGCAATTCTGCACCTAAAAGTGTAAAAATGTTTGAAGAGAGATGAATGGGAGAGTTCTGTAACTGAAGACAAAGAAATTTCTATGGATAATGGTTTGTGGGAAACAAGCTCAGTGTTCAGCTAGAGAAAGATGGAAAGTTGTGTGAAGATGAGGGACTTTAATTGGAAAGAAAAGACTGTGAGGTGCTCACCCAAGACTTCTGGGGCTTTAGAAGGTATGTGAAGAATTCAAGCACAAAATCAAAGATCACAGTTTGAATACCACCAACTAAAACTGCTGAAAGTGTCTTTGCTTACTATATTAAATGAAAAAAATACACTTCTCTCAGTTGAAGATAGTGTACTTCATACATGGTTTGAAACAACCTTAAGGACTTATTTTCAAAGGTAGTGAGTAATTACTGTTAGAATAAGGCAGAGCTGCTGTTTTCCAGTGCCTTCAAAGTTTGATCTGTTACTTCTGAGTTTTTAGAATATAAAGTGGAATATCTTGAGTTTTATTTTTTTATATATTAATGAATATTAGTATACTTAATGATTTCATTTGTCCAGCTGGAGCAGTTTCAGCAGATACAAAAAACGTATGCTCAGTGGGTAGATGGAAATGATCAAGAGCGTATAGTATGTTGCATCATGTTTTCCACCTTTATGGCTTGTGTGGGCAAAACCAAAGATCTTTCAGCAGACAAAAGAGCATTGCTGATTATTAAGAAGATAAATGGATGGAGATGGTATTTTGACTGTCATTGTAAAAATGTGATTAAAAACCATAATATGATAGAAACCCACAGATTTAATATAGATCCCGTAGACATACTGTGTTCATGTATTTATTACAATACTGACATCCAAGCCTCTAACTGTATTCAGTCACAGTGAAATTATTTGAAGATGTGGCTTTTTTTCTAAGAGCCTTATTGTAGAATATGACAATTTTTTTCAGCAGCTTGAAAAATGCCAATTATTTACAAAATGGTATATGAAAGCTGTAGTGGCATAAGGTACAAGTGGGCTGTGGGGTGTAGCAGGGGATAGGGGATCTGTTCCACTTGCTAAGAGAGGCCATTGCATCAAACTACTGCCTGAAAGAACTCCACTAGTTCATGACAGAGCCAAGCCTCATCAACAGCTGCAGAGTCCCAGTCTGGACACTCCTGCTTTTGCTATCTGGGGCAAACATCCCCGGGTAGCTAAGCAGCAGCATTCGTCATTACTCATTTCCCTTTCACTCTGTCCTGTGAGAACAGCTGTTTGCTGTCTTTCTGCACTTTGAGATCCAGGGTAGGGATTGAACAGTACCTGAGGATGAAATCACTTCTTCCTATTTGTAAAACTGTTTTGATCAGAGGATTCTAGATTTTCCAGCATTATGGTTTTCTTTCTCTTCTGTTTTTGTTCTCTTCAGATCCCTGCTTCCCAAAATAGCACCTCAGAAATTCTTGCTTTCTCTGTGGTCATCGTTGACTTGGCTGTATGACTTAGGTTTTGCTAATCAGAAAATATAAATACTTCTTTCTTGAAGTTATTTCTACTATCTAATATCTGGGGCAATATTACCCCTAATCCCTCCAAAAATAAGGATAATTTTGGTTTTAAAGACCTGTGGTTGCTTTAATCATTTGCAGATGCCTGTGAATCTACACTATGGTGTGCATAGTATTTGGGATGCATTAAGGGAAAGAAAACCTGGACTCTAAAGTTCATGGAGGATGAGAAGCCAGGAGAACCAAAGGAGAAAGATTATTACCAGAATATAATTGCAAACTGGCCAAAGGGGTGCAGTTTGGCATGGCAGGAGATGGGGGAGCTATACAGCACAGATCAAAAAGAAAGGAGCATGTCAGCAGTTTTCTTGCTCAGTTTGAGTGAAGACGAAAGGGAAAATTCAATCCCTCTTATGCTATAAGAATGTAAGGTAAAATATCAAAAATGCCTAATTTTTTCCCTCACAAATGGGATAATCCAGCATTTAAGTCTGAAGGCAAAAGAATCATTGGCTCAGCTGGGTATCTAAAGGTATCATATTTATAGACCAGCTATTTCAGGAAGAGAGCCTGTGTTCTTTTGCATCACTTAAGGCAAAATATAACCTTGGCAAACAAAACCACTGGCAATATTTGCAGTTGCATCATTCTCAAGTGAGTATTTAACATCAGAAAATGTTAGGACATTTGTGGTAAGCTGCTTTTTTTACATAATCCTATCAGTTAGGGCTGTCCAGTAGCTGCTGTACAATATCTTGAACAGAAAACGTTCACTATCACAAGTTAAAGCTGTGTGGGATAGGTAACTGGATTATGATACTGATGTCAAACTGTGGAATAAACTTAATTCAGTAATTGGGTGTCTAAATATGATTTGAACTAAGGTTTAGTTAGAAGAGGGGTTTTTTCGCCTCCAAGAATAAAGGAATAAAACCAGAAATCTGGCTTAGTGACAATTCCTTAAATTATGGATAATGTGTAGTAATTGCTTCAAAAGACAAATACCTCTGTGTTTTGTGCCTTACTTTGTGGAGAGTCTTGTGTGAACATCCCTAGACAGAGATTTTTACTGTATGTTGAAGAAATATCATAGTGAATTTTGGACAGAGCCAAAATTCAAAGGGATGGTCTCACAAAAGGATGCAGTCACAATAGCAGACACGGGAAAATGTGGCAGATCAGAACAGATCAGAACTAAATTCTTAATAAATCTATTAAAATGAGTTTTAGTAACCAAACATTTTATTCATAAAATAGGCAAAGTTAAAATAGTATGTGGTATACTAATAGTATGCTAAACTAACCAGTTACATATTTCAGTGAGCAATACCTGAAGGAAGAAACTTCAAATCTGTCAGGTTCTGATTTTATCTGCTTAGTTCAACCTACTTTTCATATCACCAGAAGCGTAAGACTTCAGCTGCCTCAAGAAAGTACTATCAGAAGCTAACACCATCACAGGTTCCCAAATTTTCTTGCAAAACTGCTGCTTTAGTGACTACTGTGCTAAAAATGTGTCTCTGGTTTTCTTGTCTTTGGGGATGCCAAAGGTCTGGTGTTTTGAGCCACAATGTCCAGTCCAAGATCAGGGCCTGCTTTATTCTGTGCAAGTGTTTTTGAGCAGCCAAGGGGAATGCCAATGCTGACAGCAGTTTTCCATCCGTTCCTTCCTGACCTGCAGGTAT